TTTTCTGGTCACTGTCGTGCTATAAAGGGCTAAAACTTACCACAAACCGGTTTACAGGTCGTACACTTGGCGGCCTTCTGATCCAGATGCAAAATATCAGCTTACGAAGTTCGGGCATGCGCAGAAAGCAAAATTTCGACAGTTTTTGGGTTTAAAAGTGACACAGCAGTCTTGACTTTTACTTTCCGCTTTCTCTCCTCCCTTCTTTTTTCGCTTTTCTTGCCTCATTTTTTTTTCTCTTGCTGGGCATTTAGTAGGCTTCATTTTGGTGGGAAGAGTTTTTAGGAAAGCTTTTAGGATCTTAGGATTAGGTGAAAGGAAAGGTAGGTGGGTAATGGAACAAGATTTTCGTGGAGATTTTCAGGTCCTTGTCACGTGGTTTTTTGCTTCTTTCTCCGGTGTCCTTGACTGAATTGTGGTCATTCTGGTATGGTTTGAAAGATCTCTTCACCCTGCACAAGTTAGCGAAAAAAGTTGTCCTTGACCGTTAAAACTGATGACGTCACAAAGGGTAGAAAGGACCTGGATCCGCACGGGCGGTTACGGGCGGTTCAGGGGCGAATGGGTTAAATAAATTTAACTTCATCAAGTTTAGACAGCATTTACGAAAGTCATCGTCTAGCCCATGTTTAAATCATGAATACCGATTATTCAAACGCTGTTCTTCCGTAAACTTGTTCAGACTGTGTCTAAATTCCGACTTAGTAATAATAGAAAGTTAAACCTGCTCACTGGTATGGGTTAACAAATTTAAATAACAAACCAATAAGATTTGAATGTAAAATATCTACCTTCTTTGATGACACCTTCGGCAGTGAGGGAAGAGGATGCTTTGATGCACTTGAAAGCAAGCTCACAGTTCTTCAATCCCCCACCGAGCCTTCCCTCTGCAGAACACATACGGGCTAATGAATAGTACATAGCCCCCGCTTTATGGAACAATACGCGGGCAATCATGTTTCGCCAACGAGGGCCACCAACAGACTGAGCATCAGGTACTAAACCATTCTTTACACATGCAAGGCCCTGCAATAGATGAGGGATAGCGTGTAGTTTATCCATTATCTCCATTTTAACGAAAGTGATAATATGGAAACTTGCCTTTACAATACATGACAGCGCCATCCTAAGTTGGGCCTCATAATCATCCTTTTTTCCTTTGTCAGCAGCTACAGTGTAATTGTCTGATAGCAAGTAACTTGCTGCTGCAAAAATCTGCAAAGAAGTAGGTCAAAATGTGTATCAGTATGTGTCATAATAGTTGTAAACTTACGAAGTCACGTGACAAAAAGAGCCCAAACATAATTTTGCTTAAAACTACCAAGAACGATCCCTACAAGCGTAGATACAGGATCATGTAGGTAAGAAAGAATCTGATACTAGTTTATTTCAAAACTGTGACCTTTTCAATGTTCACATGAATTTTGCCAACATGAAACTACTACCTTAGAATAATTCAATGGTAGAAAGAATTTATTGACATACCTCTGGAAGTCTGTCATCACCGTCTAAAGTCAGAGCCAAGCAGTTATCCAGTAACTTGTGGATTGTTCCGTGTTTTCTGAAAAGGAAGATATAAGACGTTCAATTAAAATGTCTAAAAATTAATAAAAGGAGCAGAGGAGATGGTTGACCATTCAGACATTACTTCTCCCTTTAAAATCAAAAATGTGTAACAGGCAGTTGCATTTAGCAATGATTTTAAACTCAAAAAGGGATTAAGAAAAAACTTACGTCAATATGAATGGTGAATCCTTAAATAACATGTTGTTTGCCACTCTGGTGAAGGAAAATTTATGCAAATTAAACCAAGCAATGAATCAATTTTTTATGACGTAAAATTAGCTACACGTATTAATGACTTGTAAATTCAAACTCATAGGTGGAAAAAAAGACTCTTAGATCAAAGGGAAAATTGACATGCTTTCCCTTTTCATGGTTGTGGAGAGGAGTTATTTTACAGAATTTTTGGAATGCTGAACAATAATTCTCCACATTCTTCCAAACTCTTACCTGAGCAGTTTCCAAATCCATAACCATGTTTTTTGGCCTTAAGCAAGAATTCAAGTAACATCTATCCACCCACACACCTAAACAGTCAATTTCAGATCATCTTCTATACTAACCTGTAAAACAGCACAGCCATGAGCACAGTAATACGTGTACATTCGTCTTTCCAGACATAGTTCGTCTGTTAATTGTAAATAAAGCAGAGAAAAACGTGAAAAGGAGGTCTTATGGTGGTCAAGGAAGGTCAGAGATTTTAATTTAAAATTCACATTAATTGACAAATATACAACTTCACTAAAACAGGGTTCAAAGTGCTCCTTTATTTGGACTTCCACCTAGCAATAAGTCTGAGCTACAATTTTCCATTGAAATGTTGTTATAATAGTGAAGAGAATTTGAAATAAAAAGACAAAACATCCATGTACTATTATTTGGTAAAAGGACTGCCTGTTTGGAAAAAGGGCACAAAACTTCATATAAATTTTTGGTTATGATGAAGAAACTACATTGCATCCGACCTGCATGCACACTCACAAACTGTCTTCCAGGTAGGAAATTATATATGGTGGTGAAACTTTATATTCTTAACTCATTTCTAATGTTAAGAAATTATGAGTTATGCTGAAACATATCTGGAAATAGGGAAAGCATCTGTGCAACATTCTCTCATATTAAACAGTCTATTACCTGCAGGCGAATTGACGTCAGATCATGTAACTTAATTTTTCCCTTATCACCTGTTGATGAAAAAAATGTGCAATTAGTTTCTCAGATGTTGGTCACTACGAGGAAATAGCTTAAAAAAGACTAAACATCACTACACATACCCTTCACCAGCCAATACGTGTGACCCTCCATGATCCTGCCTGACGTAATGAAGGTAAAAATATTTTCCAGCGCATTTATAATAACCTAGTGAGCAAGGAAAAAGAGCCTGAAATGGAAGCTTCATGTCAAAAAAATAAAATGAAGAATAAAAATCTGCAGAGACTCAGGCTTTTAATGAATCATCAAGGGATGTTGGGTTAATAATGTTGTTTCAGATTCCAAATGACAGAATCAATTAAGTCAAGGGCACTTTATGCAATACTTATCCACTTTTAACGACACAAACAAATGCTTATCAGGAGCTAAGTGAAACAAACCAACCCCTGGATCAGGCCATTTATAAGGGAACAAACTAGTAGACTGCTGAACATTTAAACATTTAAAGTTTTGTTTACTAAGAGGTCTGTTAAGATGATTGACGGCAGCGAAAAAATGCAATCGCCAGTTTGCGTTTTGGATTGTTGTTTGCCCCAATTCCTCTTGACACTTGGAAGTTTGAGATTCAGCTTAGTTCTGGTATTATAATCATGTTGTTCTTGCTGTCTTATGAAGTTCATATCATGCTCAACGAGTCCATTTAAACACTCATACACATAGATACATCTTCCCTTAAAATGCCTTTCTTTCTAATGGAACCCACTTAAGAGTGGCAAGTGCATGTGTAGCAGATGAATAAAGAGGTCTGTCTAAAATTATTTTAGCAGCCTAAGGTCGATAGAATTCACAAAAAATAGGGAAAATTTTACCTCAGGGAAAAAACTGCTTTGTCCTTTCAAATTTGAGGGCTCGTCTGTTTTGTCAATGTCACAGTCCTGCAAAATGAAGGCACAGTTGAGTTGCAGTACACTGACAACAATATAAATCATTTAGAGAGGCAACAAGGGTTATTTTAACTCAGGCTTTTTCACAGACATTCTTAGTGGTCATCACACATTCCTGCCCCATAGACGTCTGCTGAAACAAGCGGTTAAATTCCTTTCTCATTGTTTGCAAATAGTAGTAGTAGTGGTAGTGAACTTTTTTAACGTGTCAAGAATCTCTAGTGCATAGCACTAATTGGAGACACAAAAATTAAAATCAAATAAATAAATAAATTAAAATCAAATATTAAAATAGTTTTGAAATAATGTTAAGATAGAAATGCAAATAGTAAAAACTAGTGTGGGAAAAAATCTAAACCTATTTACACGTAAAAAGATGATAACAGGATAAAAATTCTGCTTTGTAACATAGGGTCTCAAAGTTAATAAATTTATTATTACAAAGCATGCAATTTCTACAGCCATCCTCAATTAAGGCAGTCAGGTCTGTTCTCCTAATTTTAGTCTTACATTTGACTATCCTCAGCATGTAATTCCTTTGTAAGTTTCGTACAGAGGAATTAGGGCTATAGTATCGTAATGAATGGTTTCCATATTTAATCCTATAAAAATAAGGGACATTGAAATGCCAATTTCTTTTTGGGCTTCAGGTATAAGGAAGGGTGGGGATTTCACTAGTTAAAGTATATGAAAGGGTTACAAAATCTGTCATTTCACTCGCTAAAAAGGCCCAAGGGCTAACAGATGCATTTTATGGCAGTGAAAACAGTTGATAAAACATTCTGGTTTTGTGATTTAAGCGAAATGACAGATTTTGTAACCCTTTCATATACTTCAACAAGTGAAATCCCCACCCTTCCTTATACCTGAAGCCCAAGAAGAAATTTAGATTTCAATCATGTACCCGTTTCACATAGTTTAGACCTTTGCATCCTTTTTTACTGCTGTAAGTATATAATATATACTTACAGCAGTTAAAAGGATGCAAAGGTCTAAACTATGTGAAACGGGTACATGTACCATTTCTGTCAAACCAAAAATAAGGGGTTCTAAGGGGTCTGGATCTCGAGTCGGAGCCTCCCCATGTAAAACTTTGTTAAGTTACTATCCCGCCCCATCTGATGATAAGTTCGGCAAGTAAGAGCGTTTATATTGTAAGTTGTCAAATGGGTGAGGCAAGTTTGCTGGTGTTAAAAAGAATTCTTAACAATATAATTTGTCCAACTAATTTTAGTCTAATTCTTGACAGCACGGGGTTTGTGAACTGAACAAATCTCTTGCCCTTTTGCCAAGTTTATTTTCTTTTTTTCCATCTCACCATGCAAGACGAAGCCACTTCTGGGATATACTTCATCAAGTCATTCAGCTGGTCATCTAGCCCAGTAAGCACAGTAACTGCCTCTCTGCCTTCCCTGGAAAACAAAACAACAGGAACCCCTATAATAGAATCTTTACTTGAGTTTCTGTAACAGCGAGACATTCACACTAATCGATCCAGATGAAGGCTATAATCCCCCATCTATAACTTGGAAACCATGCTCACACACTTGGCTAGAAGCTGGATAGGTGATTTTCTCCATCTCGTTAAACTAACCTTATTGCTTTTGGAAAATAAAAAGAAAAAAATTTGACAAATAGTTTTACGCATGACTTACCTCAGCCTTACAGTCAATGCACGGTGCACGGTTTTTTCATCAGAGAGGGGAAGCTTTGACATGCTAAGAAACTGGATACAATCAAACTGTAACTGGAAGGACAAGTCTTGATGAACCTAACAATGCAAGGGACTTGTTTCATAACCCTTATTAATTTCATCACAACCAAAATCAATACACTACAACTTAGAAAGACAATAAAGTAGAAACATAGTAAAATAGACATGGGTAATAAAATTATTATCTTCTGGCTGTCAGCATAGGTATGTTTTTCTATAACCTCTATCTAAGGTGCCAGGAATGTTTCAAGGATGACAAATCAGAAATTTTGCATCCCACTGACACTTAGTTTTAACAAAAGAAACTCATATTCCTTCACACCAGGATGTTCCATTTCTGAAGGACCAAAGTAAAGCTGCAAAAAATACATCCATAAAATCACCGAACTCTAGCCTTGTAAAAAAATGCATTTTTAGTTGAACAAAATGTTGATTTTCATTAAAGAAAAGAAAGAAATATTTGAAGAATTTGAAGCAAAATGTAGACTCGTTAACATTATTTGCTTCATAGTTTTATAATATGTTCCATCAACTGTTCCATGTAATGCAATGCTTTGGAATAATCTTGGAGCATGAGTTTGGTTTCCTACGTTCGAATCCAATTTTAAGACGCAGAAATCTGTTGAACCCGCCATCAGAAAAATACTTGTCTAATGAGTGTAGGGTAAAGCCTGTGCTAGTTCAGGGATGTTAGGATGGATTTCCAGTTTCTGGGTAAATACAACAAGTTAACGGGGAATCAAACAGCTAGGGATTTCTTTTGGATCTGTTTTTTTTCTGTTTTCCTACCAAAGTAGCCCGGGGGCCACATGCATAGTAGCTGGGGGAAATCCCCAGCTCCCAGCTCTTTATGACAGCCTTGTAGTTGCTACAAAATTAAACCAATATTGTAAATATTTACTATTACATCTTCACTTCTACCTTCACTTTCTTCTGTGTTTCATCATCATCATCATCATCATCACCATCATCATCATCATCATCATCATCATCCCCACCACCATAACCACTGGCATCACCACTGCCACTTCCATCACCATCAAAACCACCCTCAGTTTCTTCTGACCCCTCAACTTGTTCTCTTTCCAACACTCTGTCGCTTTTGAACGCTGTCGCTGATGAACTGTTGCTGGTCTTGCTATTGCATTCCCCAGGCTGCTTTCCACCAAGGCCATCTTTGGGCTCAGTACCACCCTCATTTTCTTGCGACACAACATCTTGTTCTCCTCCTGACTCTCTGTCCTCTTTACTCCCTGAAGAACTGTTGCTGGTCTTGCTATTGCACTCTCCAAGCTGCTTTCCACTTATGCCATCTTTGGGCTCAGTACCACCCTCATTTTCTTGTGACACAACATCTTGTTCTCCTTCTGACTCTCTTTCGTCTTTACTCCCTGAAGAACTGTTGCTGGTCTTGCTACTGCACTCTCCAGGCTGCTTTCCACTTATAACATCTTTGGGTTCAGTACCACCCTCATTTTCTTGTGACACAACATCTTGTTCTCCTTCTGACTCTCTGTCATCTTTACTCCCTGAAGAACTGTTGCTGGTCTTGCTACTGCACTCTCCAGGCTGCTTTCCACTTATAACATCTTTGGGTTCAGTACCACCCTCATTTTCTTGTGACCCAGCATCTTGTTCTCCTTCTGATTCTCTGTCATCTTTACTCCCTGAAGAACTGTTGCTGGTCTTGCTACTGCACTCTCCAGGCTGCTTTCCACTTATAACATCTTTGGGTTCAGTACCACCCTCATTTTCTTGTGACCCAGCATCTTGTTCTCCTTCTGACTCTCTGTCGTCTTTACTCCCTGAAGAACTGTTGCTGGTCTTGCTACTGCACTCTTGAGGCTGCTTTCCACTTATGCCATCTTTGGGCTCAGTACCACCCTCATTTTCTTGTGACACAACATCTTGTTCTCCTTCTGACTCTCTGTCGTCTTCACTCCCTGAAGAACTGTTGCTGGTCTTTCTACTGCACTCTCCAGGCTGCTTTCCACTTATGCCATCTTTGGGTTCAGTACCACCCTCATTTTCTTGTGACCCAGCATCTTGTTCTCCTTCTGACTCTCTGTCGTCTTTACTCCCTGATGAACTGCTGCTGGTCTTGCTATTGCACTCTCCAGGCTGCTTTCCACTTCCGTCTTCTCCTTCTGACGCCCTGTTGCAAGAAGAGAGAGAAAGAGATGGAGAAAACACTGGTCAGCAGTTAAAACAGCATGGAATTCACTCATAAAAAACTCTTTTTTGCATTCTTGCTAAAAAAAATACTCTTATTGTGTAGCTAGATATAATAATTTCATACGGTAACTGTTCACAATTAATGCTGATACTCGTTATCTGCAAATGTTTGTTGCTTTAAATCCTGCCAACCTTAACTAACTTTTTAACTCAAATTAATTTTTTGCAAATTGCTTCAGTGTGCTGCTATTTGGAACATGTTGCTTATAATCCTATATGTAGGGGGTCTGGGAGCTACAAGCATGCCTAACTTACTAGGGGGAAAACCTACCCCAAATTTGAAAGCACATGCACAAATGGTTATAGGTATTAAAACTAGTATTCAGGAACTTTTGACTGTGTACGGTAAGAACAAAAACAGCCATATTTGCCAATTTTCGTTGTGGAATCAACGTTTGTATTTCAAAATGAAAGACTTTTCCAAACTTTGTTGCCTATAGTAAAAAAACTGCTTACCTATTTTTGTACTTAAGGGGGAGGTGAACTGCTGCACGTTGAAAATCATCCACTTCTGCTAAATTAATGAGATTCTGTTAATCTAACACTTTAAATTAATCCCTCGTTATTACTGCAGAATTTACTCTGTAATAAAATATTACTCCTTTTTTGCAAAATTTCTTTTGACTAGAAAAAATAAATATTGATAAAATGACAAGCAACGACCAGAGCGTAATAGACTCTCTGGGTGTTAAAAAAGCATAATCCAATGCCGTGAGAAGATCTAACTTGTTTTAGCTTTGATGACTTAGTAATCAGTTTTCTTGCAAAAACCAAGCAACAACAATCTGTCTCAAATTTCCATGCTAGAGCTACAGCACTTGGAAAGCAGCTTTAGTTGTATTTAAATGGCTAGTACATTCCTTGTAATATGAGTAGCCTTAAAGCTGGATCAATTATGTTGGAGCAAAAAAGGCTCACATTTTACCGCGCTGCATCATAGAATGTATTTTTCTGACTGCGTATGTTATTTTCTCTATTGTAAAATGCAGTTACTGGAGCCTGATGCCCTCATTCAGCAAACACGTAATGCAATAAAATGTCATGCCATCACTGATTACATTAATGTTGGTAGTCGCGTTTTTACTTGTAGTGGGTAAAATCATTTTGATCACAGTTGGGAAATTACTGATACAATAGCAATCCTTGTTTTTGTTGCAATTGGACCAGTTTCTAATGTTCTGTATGGCTAGTATAACAAAATTGTCCTCATGCATGGTGCTCCTCAATTTAATGGTACATCGTGTTACCCTCAGATAGCAGTCTAATAAAATTATTCAGAGACTGCTTTTTTATTATGCTTTTTTAACATCCAGAGAGTCTATTATGTTCTAGTCAGTGCTTGTCATTTTATCAATATATTTTTTTCTAGTCAAAAGAAATTTTGCAAAACAGGAGTAATATTGTGGTCATCAGTGTACTTCATGGCATGAAGGTGAAGTGAGACCTGTTGTGTTGAAAAAATTGATTTTTTGATAAAAGAAGTCATGTGTCATTTTCTCTTCCATGCTAGCCCCACATCAGCTTGCTATATGGGACATGAAGGTCAAGCATAATAGCTTTAATAATGCATCAGATGCATGTAAATAAGCGTGATCACCATGTGTGTTGAAATTTTTTTCTTCCATGCAAGAAATCATGCTTTGTTTTCTTCAACAAAACAGGTTGTTTCAAGCTCATTAGTATGTGACATAGCAAGGCAATAAAATTGCAAATGCATGACAGAAGCAATGTAAGCTAGGCAACAGGGATGTTCCCTTAAAACAGCTTCTCCTTGGGGGCTGTTGATTATTTATGGGGATGAACGGATTGGGAAAAAAATTTGATTGTTTGCTTTTTTTGCTAAATGCCTGTTTCAAACCATGCCATAAATTTCAAAGCCCACCAAAATTTGTTCTATGTTTTTCAAAACCAATCATGTAGGATAGCATAAAGGCGAACAAAAAAATCGGATAGAATCATACGCTGACGGTATAAAAGACGTTTTAGTTTTACAAACAAATTGTGTGTTTTAATAAATCTGATGGGATGTTGTTGATGGACTCAAGGCTGCTGCCTAATGGACGCTTGGGTGCCAGAGGCGCCTACGAGTTACCCTTGGGCAACCAAAATTTCAAACAGGGAGCCCAAACGGGTGCCCTAAAACTTACGATTCTCAGGCTAACTTCCAGTGAACAAACAACAAAATTCCCTGCCCATTCTGCACTTTAAAATGACAACGGAAGATGTTTGATCATTGGCCAGATGCAAAAAAATATTTTCACCAATAAATGGTAAACACACAGCACTATGTCTTGAAATTCGCATCTGTGACTTCCGCTGCAGAGCAGTTAAAGTTTCTCGTCTGAAAATGGTGTCGAATGAATTCGATAGTCTTCGAAAAAACTTCAATAATAAAATCATGACTTTTCCTTCAGGGTTGGAAATGTCAGGTCGCTACTGCATGAAGTCAAAACTGGCAAAAAGTCGCGGTCCATGGAAAAGCAAGCTGGTTTCAAATTACACGTGACATCGATGGTTTCCGTAGGTTATTAACTTTTGCAAGTTTGTAGCATTGCTACAAACACGAATGGTACACTCGGACATTCTTTTATTATTATTTTATTCAGCATTATCGACGCCTCCCTATTTTTTGCTGTACATTTTGTGTTAACCTTTGAAAAACTGGTAAAGAAAGCGGCTATTCAAGATCATATTTCAATCTCTTTTTAATTTACAAAGACAAAAAGTCAACCCTCATTCGAGGCTCGAGTATTGTTCCAGTTTTGTTTCATCATGAAATGCTCCTTAAGCCTTCTCCGACTTATCTAGGAAGATCGAAGGGCCTCTGCTCGCAGGGTATAAATTGATAAACAACAGCTTCTTCAAAGATAGATCTTTCCAGCGATACCTAGTTTTGGATATTCTGACCAATCCTGTCAGAGTTACACTCTCATAAAAGATAACATTTTGGGGAAAAATCCACTGCCTATTTTGCTGTTTACATACTACTCTTTGAAGATTAAATAAATTTGCCCCTTTCCTAAAACGTTAATTAGCCAGCCACAATTCCATGCAAATGAAGAACGATAAAGTGGGCAACAAAACTGCTAATAAACAAGAAAGGCAAAGGAAAAAAGAGAGTAAGAGAGAAAGATCAAAATAGATTCAAAAAGAAAAAAACATAATTTGGGCTTTTGCACATACGTTAAAAAGAATTTAGCTGTTTAATTATGTCAGATTAGTTGAAAAATATGCCTTTTTTCTTGCAAAATCGTTTAGCCATTTTTATGCTAATTAGCCAAAAACCAGTCCAAAGAAGAGGAATTAGTAAAAAATGCATTTTTTTCGCTAATCGCCTGCCATCACCAATACCAAAGGGTTAATAAATTAAAGTTACTAATCTTTTTTAATTGGGCTCCTAGAAATGCGGCTTGGGCTCTTAACTTTTTATTTTAGGAGCAGAAGGGCTCCCAAAAAATTTTCTTAGGCAGCAGCCTTGTGGACTGCTATAACGATAATGATAATGCCTACAGTATATTGTCAAGGGCAAATGCTTAAGGCCAGAAACTGCTAAGAGTATGCGTATGAGATAAACCCCTCTACGAGGGAGACTGCTTAAAAATCTCAACCTAATTTAAAGCCAGTTCACCAAAATGTATTTTTGACAGTCTTGCTTGCTGTTATTTCATAAAAGGAAGGATAGGAAACTCTGCAATGACCGCGCTTGGCCGACTTCCGAATGCTCACCGAGATATGATAATTTTGTATGAGAAAATAAAAGGGATTCCCGTCAGGTAACGTCTAGATATGAACACCCTCAGCACTTTGTATACTGCAGGAGGTACAAGGGCTTTGCTAACAGTTTTCGCATTACCTCTAAGCAAGATTCTAGAGCAAAACCAAGAGACACAATAAAACAGACAGTGCTTACAAGTGTAGTTAATTTTTTCACTACCAGATAAAAGCATAAGTAATGAGTTGGTTTAATCATTGGCTTGCATTAAACCTATGTAATAATGATATTTTTTTAAACAGTAAATAGATTTAGTGTTTAGCATTTCTTGATTTTTTTGCAAAGGCACAAGAAGCACGAGAATTGATTACAAATCATAAGTTAAACCTCTATGTATCACGCCATCACCTGTCTCACCGTACCAAAATTATTATATCTCGGTGAGCATTCGGAAGTCAGCCAAGCACGGTCATTGGACGCGTGCTGAACAAGAATGCTGTATCATGACAGACTAGAAACAATAGAAAACTCCCAAAGGACAAACTCAGCCAAAATGCTAAAAATCTTCAATGTTTACTCAAGTTTGGGCTTATAGAAGATAATGTCACAGTATATGTTTGCATTGCTTGAAATTGTGTGCATTCACAAGGCCCTAAAGCCTTTTGCTGACATGCAAGGACCCATCTCTGATAAAGATCCCCAAAATAAAGGGATAAATCTCATAGTTTATTAGATATAACCGTGTAAAGTTTGCTTATCATTTTTGCATAAATTATGACCTAAATTTGGAAAGTGCTGAATTTCTCGCATTGGGTCTTTGTGATTTTGGTGAAACTCTGTTCAACACAAGGCACTAATACACAGTATATGTAGCTGAGAGATTTTCACAAAAAAATGCCGGCAACAGCTGAATTTCGACTCAGACCCCAAAGAGGCGTGGCACTATAACCACATGACATTTACTCCGATCGCCAAAAATTTTATGCTATATTGTAGATTGATGGTACCCTCAAAAAATAACTGGGTCGAGTCACCTTAAGAACCTTAATAAGAAACTTAACAAGAATCTTAATAAGAATCTTAATAAGATCATAATAAGATCTTCACCTGGGGAAATTTTATGATCAACTTTGATCGATTTCTGATATCTGTCGATTGATTACTATCGATTTTTATCGAC